CGTATTTGTTTGGTCATATCTTCTAATTATTATTTTAAAAATTATATTTAAAATAATATATGCACAGGAAGTAATAATTGAAATGATCAATGTAAGAGAGATCGAGAACTGAAAATATATTATTTCAAACAAAAATTTCTCTGGTATAATTCTTTCAAAATTATTATTTCATTTAATAACCACAATTATCACGCTTCAAATAAATAATTCTTATATATTATTGGTTACCCATCATTTTCACGGAGAATACAAATTTCCAAATAATATTTGACTCCAACGAAACTATTTAAATCATTATTTTCGATAGCTTGCCTGTAACTGTTGTTACACACCATCCGGGGAGCGCGCGTGAATACGCCCACCGCACGACAATACGCGTTTGACACGCACCGTGCGCAGCGCGATTGTTAGTCCGCAACGGGGAAAAAAAGCATTCCGCATTATTCGCGGTACGCACGTACGCACAGTACGGAAGGCGGATGTGCGGCCGCGCGGATGTTGCTCGACGCAAAAATCGTGCGCGGGTCCGTTCACATCGGTGACTCTTTTTTTCTTCTTTTTTTTCCCCTTTAATTTTCCCAGATATTTCTAAGCTCGACGAGAAATGCAAATGTGCGGATTTTATAAATTGCTTCTACGTATAGACAGTCTCGAGAAATTTTTAATGGATGAATTTTGAGACGAGTACGCGTGTTATATAAGTAATAAAAGACACGTCCATTGCAACGGAGAGCAGATCGGAAAGGATGAAAAACATTCACGAGCGTTGGTGCGAGATGTGACGTTGACCGATGATGCAAGAACGTGACGTCGTCCTCGCGCGCCTCTAATAATGAATTATTACAGATATTCGTCAGTCATTCCTGATTTTTTTTCGAGAATAAAATTTAATACGATATTAAAAGAATTTATCCATCTATAATAAAGAAATGGATGACTCAACACACGTTTCTCCTCGAGAAATGTTTTCTGTTAATAGATTAAATTTCACAAAAAATTATAATTTAATTACTTTGCGAAATATAGTTAATATTAATTGATACATATATTTATTTATTACACTCTGCTCTTAGAATTAATTTACATTTCCGAGCAAAAGTTTTACCCATATAAAACATTTTCTTTTGCCGTGAATATTTTCATTTAAAAATTTATCGTAATTATGCAAGGAATGATAAGCTACTGTATGAATTCGCGTTTTTAAAAACTTCACACAATAATAATAATTTCACAAGATTTTTCATCTCCTCCTCATATAAAAAATCTAGAACGAAGCTAAATATCCACATTTTAATGCAAGGAATGTAATTCAACTGAAAACGTAATATAAAAGCGTATAAAATTCAATATGCTATTATCCTGAAGAGCATTATTATTCTCGTATCTATCATTTTGTAAAATTCATTAGAAAACATCTATTTTCTATAACACGACTACAAAGACGAGTAGAAATAGAAATGTTATACGCAAGAGAGAATATTAATAGAACATCTGGGCTTTATATGCAAATTTATACAGGTTTTAAAAAAATATCCATGTATTAATAGACTTTTTAATTAACAGTAAAGAGAGAGGGAAAAACGAGACTATGATGATAGTTACTACGAAATCTGGGAAAAACATTCCATGAAGCAATGATGATGTTTTGGGAAAAAGATTGGATGGATGAGCACAAATAAATGGATAAAACATAAATCAACCGTGAGATTGTTATAAAATGACATGGCAAAATTACAAGAGCGCACATAAATCGACGATTTAATAGAAAAAGATGGCGCGTATAATTAAATGCAAATATCCGCTAAAACGTTCGCGGTAAATCGTATGTAATTATCGCGCGACAGAACGATAAGAGACACGTAATAAAAATCGAATTATAAACCACGGTACCAGGGCATAAGCAGACGCGAGCTGAAAACCGCGGAACGACGAGGTACGTATCGGAAATAAGTGGCGCGCGTGGTATTGCAAAGTCGACATGTCACAAGAGACGTGGAAAGAGAGACGGACAAAGACGGGAGGAGGAAGGGAGAGAGGAAGAAAGATAGCGGCCGAGGACGGAGTAAGAAACATTGGCACGTTCTGGTACCGACACGCCGAGTACCAGAAAATGCTCGCTGTCCTGAAAGTCGACTGCGAAGAGGTAGGTACCGCAAGAGACAGGCGATCGGGACCGTTCGAGGAAGCCGAGAAAGGAGCGAAAAGAGCGGGCAACGCGAAGAGGAAATGAGTAGTTACCTTCAACGGAGATCGGCACAGCAGGTCGTCGAGATGATGACGAAACAGAAAGAGGGAGAGAAAAAAAATAAAACACAGAGATGAATTTCTCTCCTGGTTGAAGCCTGGTAGCGGCAACTCGTTGACGTAACTCGTTCAACAACACAACAATCGTGCACAGAGGAACACCAATATTTCACGAATTTACACCCCGTGGTTCACGCGCGCGAAGCGACCGAGCGTTCACCTTCGACCCGCCGCGAATTATCGCGTCCGTCATTCGCGCGACTCCTCTCGACGACCGGCTGGTCCGAGCGGTCGGAGAGACAGCACGCGAAATCGCGAAGCGCGTTTCAGCCGCGATTAACTTGGCTCGTACCTGGTGAACCGAGAGACGTGATTTATACTTATTACTCGCCGAAACGGAGAGACTCGGGAAACAACGACGGACGATCCGCTGGCGGAAACAACAACGTTGGCGGTGTCTGCCAACGCGTGGCCTGCGAGCGCGCGGAACCGCTTGACGCGCGTACGAACGGCTCCTCGGTTACTGCCGAGCGGCGCGGAGCGTGACAGCGGATACCATCCGAAGGTTATACCGCCTGGTCCGCCATGTGCAACCGCATGAGCCTGCCAACCTGCCTACCTGCCTATCTCTCTCCGCTTTCTGTCCTTTCCCCTCTACCCCCAGCCGTGATACCGTACGACCACCTGAAGCGTTTACCTGGCGAACGCCGAACTCGCGCGAGCATTCCCGGAGTCGACCGACGATCATCTGTTCGAATTTTACCGCGGGATTAACTATCTGAGAGGGAAAGAAAATTATTGCACTTTCTCTTTTTCAAATACGCGTTAATTGTCTCATATAACGATAACGAGAATCTTAATATTAGAGGCTATTGTATATATTCCGCGCAATCGTTAAGTCTATATTCAGAAGAGTTTGTTTTTAGATGTCCCGCCATCCGCCTTTGTATATATAAACATATTTTTTACGCTAATATGTATGTATTTTTATCTTTTTTAAATGTTTCCGAAAAGGTATCGAATAAACCGCAAATTCTGGATAACAAAATATTATTAAATATGTTTGTAAAATTGTGTTTTTAATTATGTTTTATATTTTAAACTGGAATTGTTGTACCTATAGAGATGTGTCTTTGAAGATATTTTTAAATATAACATGAGTTTATTTTTGTTTTTTTCTCACAGATTATTATAATGTGCTTAAATAAAGGAAAGATGGAATTCTAAAAATAATATAAAAAATGCAGCAATATATAAAAGATAATTTACGTGAAAGAAATCTCTCTCCATTTAAAATCGTGAATCACCGCAATGTATTATAAAGCATGTCAAAATCACTTTCCTCCCGACAGATGAATAAATTCAGAATTTCTAGAGTAATAGAACATTAAATAATTTATAATCCATGGAATATACGAGCTCTCTCCATATTTGAAATTAAAAAAAAAATAATTAAAAGATTTTAAAAATCAAGATAAAATGTATCCCTAGATATTACACAGTCTCCTTTAATGAATCCTATTTTTTATATTTATTTATATGTTTAATTGTTTTAAAAAATGCCCTTAAATTTGTCTAGCGATAAATTGTACGAATATCATTGACATGACATGTGGGACTCAAATAGCCGTTCGATTATTACATTACACGCTACATTAGAGATTTAAGCAAATGTGAAATTAGGATTCCATAAATATCGATAATTGTTTTTAATAGAGAAATGATTCGAACGGGTACACTAATTAAAGAGTCTCCAACTCACTATTCACACTGTTCGTGTTCACTTTACGAACGGAATCGATTGCAATAAGGCTGTTATCAGCGCGCGCAATATAGCGACGCCATTCATACGAACGAATCACTATATTATATCGTCTGTACGGACGTTTTATCCTCCGCACCATACATCAGCCGCGCATGGAGACAATGTATGACAATAAAAAATAATTACAATTCTTTTATAAAGCACACTCTCTAACACGTACATATATAAATCTCTGATGTTAAACTTTCCTGACACGCGAATCCCTTGCTTTCGACGGAAAGAAATGTGGCTTTCACGCACACGATGAAATTTTTTTTTTAATGCTCCCTCGACTATAACTCTGACAATGAGCATCATTGTTGGAAAATTGTGCCGGAATTGTGTCGATATCATTTGCGATTTTTGACGTTTCCGCTCTTGTCTGTGACCAAATTTTTATTTCTTCAACTTCCCCTTCTATTCAACTCTGTCAATTCACGTAACGCGTTCCACGGTGTTAAGCGCTACGCGTTTGGTTGACGAACAACAACATCGTACGTGACAACGCGAAATCGAACATGTATTCAAATTAGTTTGCACGTTTGCTCAAGAACGATTACGATAAAGCAACAATACCATCCGCTTGGCGATGGAATGTCTCATTTGCTTTAAAAACACCTGTTCAAAGAAAAACACGCTGCCAGCGTTTGAAATAACGAGAACAAGTAGACAAAAAGTGGCTACGCAAGTGAAAAAAGTAGCCGCTTCCGCTTATAATTTCAAAACTTTCTTACTTTCTTCCTTTTATGTTTTTAAACTTTTAATTATTATATAGTTGTTATTTGCTTATAAAGATCAAAAATCTCCGCGATAGACAATCTCATTAAAGTTACCATTCTTGGTAATTTCCTCGACGCTTCACTTATTTCTGTTCTTTGAACTTTTAATGGATTTGAATTTTACTACTACTGATTTTACGATTTAAAATGTAACTATAAAAGAATCGACTCACCCATTTGGTTGCCGCTTCTTCTCCGGAGACGCAGACATATTGTTCGAGATTTGATGCACTGAAATCACAGAAAAATACAATTATTTCATTTTTGCATAACTAAAAATACAGAAATTATATATATTTCGTATCACAGAGTATATTTTTATTTTAATAATATTATATTAATTATATTATCAATTTTACATAATTTTAATTCATCAATTATTATGTTATTTATTTCTTCAAAAATATTGAAATTTATTTAAAAATATGTATGAGAGATAAATTATACCAAATAATGACTCCAAACATATAAATAATGTAATCTAAAATATACTGCAAAATATATGTATAAAAGGCAATTACCTGATGTATATATTGGATGACTTCGTTATGAGTTGCATTTTCTAAGGTGCGGCCGTTCACTTCCAAAATCTCATCGCCCACTTCTAGAGTATCCGCATTATCCGCCGGCGATCCTGCACAAAGGAAAATATCTTATTGTAATCTGGAATTTTTAATTATCAAAAAAGATTTAATGTGCTAAAGAATTACACGAATAATTCTGATACGTGAATTGTAGCATTTCCTTTCAAACGGATATTTCAATTTCAAACACGATATCGCATTCAATAATCCGTATAAAACGAGATGTTAAAGCTTAAAGCAAAAATCGCAGTTTAAGTATCCGGGAATATAACATATAATACGCTTCGTAAACGAGAACATATTTGCTAATGAACAGGACCATTTAGAGAGCATTGCGCGCCGTAAGCGAACTGTAAAAGAATTGACTAGTATGCATTCTTTCCTAAATCGTTTTAAAATTCTGATCTCGTGCAAAAATCGCTTTCTTTCAACAAAATTAAAAAGAAACACAACTGGTATATAAATGCCTCCTTATAATTCTTCGGTATTCGAGGAATTAATATAGCTGATTAATAATCGTAGCTAATTTATATTACATAAAATAAGCAAAAAATAGATAGGTACCGTTTATACAGATTATTTGTATAAGTATGTCGCGGATATTACTCGCACGTTCTTTATACAAATATTATTTTTTCAGAGAGAGAGAGAGAGATCGAAATCGAAATATCTCGTAAGAAAAATATCTAACAGAAATCGATGCGGGTGAAGGGGTGAAAACGTGAAATAAGCAAGTCTTCCTCGGGGCGATAAAGCGCACGTTACGATAAACGTAAAGGTCAGCCTATAAATAACACGTCGCGAAACGTCCTCTCTATGTAAATCGTCGCGCATTACCGTAACGCGTCGTGTAAATCGGAAATCCGTCCGTCGCACATTTCCTGTTTCCGAAAGCGTGCGACGTGTGCGCGACGTGTATAAGCTACACGTACGATTATCTGACTGACGAGCAAAATTTTCACACTTTGCCTTCTCGTCCCTACTTGTCGCGTATTCTCGCGTACAACAAGTCGGAAGAGAGACGCGATCGCCCGAGGATAATCAAATTTGTCTGGAAAGACGATTCAATCGACGCATTCAATCGACAAATATTCGACGAACACCGTATCATTGAGATAAGAGAAAACGTAATATCCTCCAAATCATCAAAATATCGTGAATTAGAGATTACGTTGAAAATATATATACCATTTATAATAGAATATATATATGCAATTTTATTATAAATTGCATATATATTTTCTTTATGATTTAATTTTGCGAGAAAATAGACTCTACATAAGATTTTGCATTTGATTTTATTTCACGCTTCATATCGAGACGTAAGAGACATGTGTTTTATCGTCGCGCGGGCACTTGCGAAAGATTTGGGAATCCGTTGAATATCTGACGACTTTGCGAATTCTGTTAGCGTTAATCGCTATACATACCGTACAACTTGATCTTCCCGTCGTCGTTCGTCAATATAATAATGTATCCTCCTAGATCGACCATTTTCGCTTGTAGTAATTATCCTCCGTACGTGTAGTGGTAGGGGTTGGGGGAGGGTAGTTCGCTATTAGATTACCTCGACTGCACTCCGCGCGAGATGACGCGAGCGCGCGCGCGCGCGCGCGCGTGTGTGTGTGTCGTGCAACGTGCACAAATCACTAATTACTTCGCACTCTACGCCGGTTCGGGTCCGCCCCGAAAAATCAGCCCGTCGTTATTAACATCGTTAGCACATGCCATTTTCTCGTGTTTCCTCTCGCATCCTCACTTCATTTTGGTATCGACCTCGTGACCTACTTTTCGGCCGGCACTTTAACAACGATTATATTTTTCGCGACGCGACACTTATTATCTCTCCTTCCCCGATTCCGTTTGCCCTCGGTATCGGTTTCCTTTCGCGCTTCCTCGCGAGATTCGTTCTTATCGTATATATCGTACAGAGTAACCGCGCATACATTTAACCGCGCCTTTGACGTGCTTATATACCGCACTTACGATCGTATCGCGAGATCGGAAACCCGAGACGCTCTAAACGGACACTAAGGCATCTATGCTCCACACGAGGGTGGTATAAGAAAATCTCTACGACGAGAACTACGATGCACGTTCGATAACGAGGTGCCACCTAAGTGAGAGAGATGGACTAAGGAACACATAATTATTCTTCGCTTTTCGTTTTTCGTTACGTTCGACACTCTATCGCGCGCGATCGCAATTTTATTATTCTTATGTACTATCGCTTTTCTCTCTTTTTCTTCGAAATTACGCGCGCTCCCTCGTCGTTAGATCCTTGTCCTCGCGAAAAAGTCCATCGTCGCGAGAGGGGAGCGAGGGGAAACGATGCGGCGCCTCCGCGGGGCCCCGATAGCGCGGGCCCCCTCCCCTACATCCTTTCGGCGACGTGCCTCGTGAGCCACGGTTGTCAAGAGTTAGCGATCGCCGGTTCACAATCTCGCGGTGAACCGGAGCGCCTTATTGATCACCGCTTCGACTAGCTTCGCTTCCGTGCACGCACTACCGGCCATCGTCCCGTCGTCGTCGTCGTCGTCGTCGTCGTTGCCGCTATCGTTCCGCATCCACCGCATCAGCCCCGCACGGCGCGGGTGCCGGAAGCGCGTATTGGCTCCGACCAGATGCTCCTACTATTGTTGCTGTTGCTACTCTGCCGCTGATGATGCTGCTGCTGCTGCTGCTGCCGTCACTCCTCCGTTCTTGTTGGGTGCGTTAGCGCTACCACCCTTGATGCGACCGCACGTTGGCGACGATCGTTATTACGAGACATTGAGTCTCTATTAACGTGAGAATCGTGAATAATGTCTCAAACTTCCCGCGGGATTCTTCGGTGAAGAGGGAGGTCATTTTACGCAATTGCAACCTCTCTCTTTCTCTCTCGCGGTGTCTCTCTTTCTCTCCCGCCCACGATACGTCGATGTTTACGCGACTTCTATGCGTTCGCTTGAGCGAATCAACCGACGACACTAATCGTAAAATGAATGTAATTCCGTGAGCGATCTTATTAACGCCTATCAGTCCGTCTTCTGGATCGCTCGTGTATTCCTTTAACGCGAGGATCGTGCTCGCAGAAGTGACAGCGGCACGTCCCTCGTGTCGCTCCACGCGACGATGAGCGAGAATCGAACCTGATGGAGCCGCCGCGAGGATCCCGCCTCGACATCATCGCGACATGTCTCCGGCACTCCTCACTTGCTCCAAGTTCCACGGCAAAGTACTTCTTTGTCTCCGGCACTCGCGTGTGTTTGTTCCCTCCCGCGGGATCAACACCGGGCAAAAATCTCGAAATCCCTGATCGAAGCTCCGATCTTGCAATCCTCCTCGTGCGGCGTGCTTCCTCCGAACGTTGAGGACGACCACCGATGGCGACTCGAAGCTCTCACTTTCGCGCTTCGACCGTCCCCTTCCTTCGATCACTTCGCTTTCGGGGTCTTTGGGTTAGGATACGGCACCGTATGTGCGTGTGCGTGTTCCATTTCTCACCCTCCTCCGCCACGACGGCGCGCAACCACCACCCTTAATCGGCCGCGACACGATGCACCTCGGGAGCGGCGCAGTCCCCGGCCGAATCGCGCGAGTCGACTAACTGACAGTTGCGTGACAGGGCGGTGGTGGCGGCGGAGGTCCGACGTTGTCCTCGCGCGGGCGACGCGACGTCGAAGCCGGAGCGGTGACTCTCGGGGAAATTGCCCCCGCGACAGAAGCGGCGGAATTGGGTGTGTGAACACCCCTGTGTGTGCGTGCGCGTTGGTCGACGGCGGCGGCAGCCCTGCTCACACACACACCGCTCTCCTGCGCTCTCCTCCGTTGGAGCGCCGCCTCCAACCCTCGCCACGGAGCGGCGCGCGGCGTCATCCCCCCGATTGGAAGCAACCCCCGATGGCGGTATCCTCCGATTGGCGGTAACCCCTGATTTTCGAATGCCGCGAATCTTCGTGCTGACTCGATGCTCGCTTTACGAGATCATCGAGATTGTTAGTTGTTCTAGATATTGAAAGCATCGCGATAATGAAATAGCTTTTGTGATTATTGCTCTCGTCATTTGATTGCTAAGAAAATATTCTTACTCACCCAATCTCTCGATGGTTTACTCCAAGCTTGAAGCGGGAACAGGGAGAGACACTTGAAGAAATGGCGCATTCAAACGGTAACATCGAGGGCGCTGTGTCGCGAACCAATGTGGCGACCCTGTGGCAATCTAGGAAATTTACCATCGTTACCAACTTCGCCAAAAGTCATTACAATGCAGCGACATCTGATTAAGTACGATAAAAATATTTACTTGTCGACATTGGTAACATATCGATTGAAAAACTTTATTTTCGACCGTCGGTTCTCGAAAATCTAATTTTTTCTTTTTTTAATCTATTAAAATTTTGTTTATTAATATATTGTACTATTATTAATTATATTTTGTAATATATCACGTTTTCACATATATCTTTCGCAAATTTTTATTTGTCATCTATTGTTACATACATATACTACTGAATACGAAATAAGAAATTCTCTGATACGTATTGTTACATGTTTGTTCATATTTGGTACCGCATAATTACACTTTAATAGAATAATATTACTTTCACCAGTTTCTTGTAGCATTCTATATCTTTCAAAGATAGCCAACCTTTTTATATTACATATTGTGGACAAATGGCACAAAAATTTCAAATCTAATTGCTATATCTAGATCAGCCTGATTCAGTATGATTGTCGGTGCTCTTGATACACTTTGTATGACGATTCTGTCTTATACAACAAGAAGATAAGTTTTTGTTTGTCAAACTCTACATGCCTAATATAGCTTGGCCATCTTTGTGATGTATTTGTAATTGTGATGTATTTGTAATTGTGAAGACATTTAACATATAAGTTTATAGATATAAACCTGAGAAGAGATTATTTTTAAATGTATAAGAGTACTGTCATGAAAAAAATACAATGTGACTCTTGAATATATAGAGAAGTAGAAAAATATATGTCACAGGAAAGTGATTGGGATATTCAGTTAAAAACTCTGAACGAGAGCACTAAAGTTATAATACAGCTTTGTCTTCTGAAGAATTCCACCGTTTAAAGTGGAAAATATCACACATTCTGTTGTTCTAATATATCTCTAACTTCACAGAGAAGAGATAAAACTTGACAGATGACAGAGATATAAATATAGCAACATTTATATTACATATTCTGTTTGTATCTTTCTCTTTTTGTAGTGTTCTAATTTGACTTCCCATTGAAAAAAATAAAAAAATTAAAATAAGAACATTTTTCTATTTGTAAAGGAACTTTTGAGTTTGAACTATGGACAATATGGAAGTAAAAGAGAGCAGCGGCTGTATTAATGCAGAATCACATCAACGTTAAATATCACATTACAATATCTGCTTCAGAAGCATATTGCAGTTCAAAGATAATTAATATAAATTATGAGTTTCAAAACATATATAACTTTTTAAGAATAATTAATATAATAGATTATTACATTTGAATAATATAAAGTAATGTGGCACTTGTTAAAGGAACATCGACTTCTTTACAAAATGCAAATAGTGTTCAAAAGAGGCTCTTGAAATATGTAATTTAAAAAAAAAGAAATGTTTTGAATATATTTTAACACAAAAAAAGAAATATTCAGGTATATTTCAATACCCGATCATTTTAGTTGGCTTTTCAATTTCACAATATATATATATCTACTTGAAATATAATGTATATTACAATAAAGAATCTATTCAAAACTTTCTCGTAAATTTAATATTGCACAAATGCACAAATGCAGTAATCATTTGTATGAAACATTAACTTACCAATATTTCCTCATAACGGTATTATCCTACCGTTTTTATTAAATTGCATTGTTGTTATTGATGGCTCCATGAGGAGACCACACAGATGCAGCAGACCTTAAAGAACAGATAATTACAATATAAATTAGGCACAATATAATGCAAGTATTAATACAAACCTTAAGCATGAGAGTGGCATTGTGTTCACATAATAACATAATAGTGCTGCTATAATGATACTCCCAGTTCGTAACGGGCATAATAATATTGCTATTATACCATACTCCAGGTATAAAATATAGGTCATAATGGATTGTATCAAAATTAACACCCAAGTTGGGCCATAGTGCCAAATTAAACGAAATTTCGACATGTGTTGTCTTGCAGGATTTTCAGCGTCTTGTAATCTGAAACATAAGTAATTATTACTTCTTAATAAGGAGTATTATAAAATTCTTTTATTATTGTGACAGTGTTATTGTCACAATATCACGAACCTACGATCAACTCGATGCGCTATAATTAGCATAAGCGGTAAATAGAAACAGCATAATTGAAAGTATCCATAGGCGTAAGTGAAACCACCTGGTAGATATCTGTTTCCGATGAATATTCCCCATATAAAGATCACACCTATATGATCCTCGATTATTTCTCCCACAGTCCATGGACCTGCAATTACGTTCGTCAAATTATATAATTAATACATTTTCGCAAGTTTTTCCAAAGTATTTATGTGCACATACCGACAGTTAAATACAACGAGTATAGCACCAGTCCGTAAAATGCTCTATCAATGGTGGATAGTATCCACAATTTCCTAAGCCACCAATGAAAAAACTTGATACGTAATCGTGGTCTATGCATATGTCTATCTAAATCAGAAAGAGCTTTTACAATATATATTTTATAATGTAATATAAAATATAGGATTTATAAATTTGGATATATTTACTTTTATAATATATGTGAAGAAATCGGAGTAAGCACAGTGGCACTACTGATATTGCAAGTGTTACAGCGAATAGAAACCGAAACTATAAAAAACAGTATGGTAAAATTAATATATACTTCAATAAGCAGAAGTTTAATTAATCATAATGCTAACTTACGATGTGAACGACGTTGAACATCAGTACTAATTTGGGTAAAATGCGTGACGATAACCACGATCCATCGAGAGAAAAAGAATGCGATACAACTTTTTCTCTACTCTCTTTATCAATTACACGTACCTGAAATAATTTTATGTAAACAACATTTGTAAAAATAGTGTTAATTAAATTCTGTAAGTAATTAAGACATCTACTGAACTGTTATTTGATGTATACCCTCTCTGTATTTTGTCGAATTCCATGGCAGCACATAAAGAGGACCTTTTATGTGATCACATTTTTGCCAAACATCGTCGTCCAATTGAATTTCAACAATTTTTAATGAAACTGTAGAGAACGCTAGTATTCTATATCAACAGTATAAGAGTTAAATTTTACAAGCCAATTTTACATATTTCATACAATAAAAAAATTACCAGCATTAATAGAAATGCGTTTACCTGACATGCGTGGATGTAATAATGGATTTCAAATTTTCTTTTTGTGGCATCATAAATAGCATATTTTTTGGATTGGTGATTAATACTACAGGCCAGTCATTATGCTTTATATCAATGAATGAGAACTGACCATGATCTATTGCTGCGAGGCGATACCTAATAATAAGCGCGTGTGTCAAGTAAGCATTTATTTGTAAACTAAATAAAGAAAATTGATAGCGAGGGAGATAAGCACAGCTCTATGTCAAAAATAGTGCGTTAATATAAAACAAAAAAATCTTTGCATGATTCCACTGATAAAGCAAAGTGTTTTGTTATATTAGTTTCATGTGAATTAAAAGAAATATAAATTTTATTTATTATTAGTTATTGCAAAAATTAAAAATACAAGATACTTTTTTATGCCACATTTATAAGAGCTATGTTCATTCATTTTGATATTACAGAAAAAAACTTTTGATAACTTATGAGTTATTCCCCCCTTCTCTCCCCAATATTAGTAACACATTACAGAATATAAAACCAATAAATAAAATTATACATTGATAATTGTCTTTTTTGGATATACAAAAGTGCATTTGTCTTACATTCTATTGTCTTTCCAATCTGCCAATTCTAACTCAAGGAAGCCCGCTTTTTGTAATGTGTACATGTTGGGTACCATACCACCAAGCATGTGGTAATGGCCACATAGGTACACCATATTTTGTCTGTATCTACCTTTTATAATAAATAAATAAATTTGTTATAACTTTATTTATATAATTAAAGTAAGTAGAGATCGTGCTTTTATATATTTGTTATATATATATACATATATCCTTACCTAGAATATTCCTGATATTTGTATCAGATTGTGACAATATGCATGATGTAGGATAATGGCCAAATACAATTGCGTGATCCGCATTGCTTTCTTTAGACTGATTAACTAATTGTTGTATCTTATCAATCTCCTGTTGGTCTAAAATACCAACGAAATTAAATGGTCTTTTGGGTCCTGGTTTCAAGCAAGCATCAATTGCAATAAAGGAGTATGTTTCAGAACCAATATTAACATTATACATATAAGATCTGGGATATTTTTTTCCTTGAATAGAATAATTAGAATAATAATTATTTTTGGAATCAAGACTGACCACATTGAAATTATCTGAAAATAGATTGTAATGTATAATATTTTTAAATATAAAAGGTTTATATATTTAAAATAAGGTTTTAATATATAATATTTTTTCTTTGATTTACTCTGCACTATTATACATGCATGCAATTGAAATGCTTGCTCCTCTCACCATGATTCCCTCTGACATCCAACCATAACGTTTTCTCTTTGATATTAGTCTTGTCTATTACATATTTATAGTATTGCCATTCTTCGAGTATTTGCTTAGAACCCATTTCATCTATACTTTTTGCATCAGTTAAATCTCCTATTAAAATATAAGCATGAAATATTGATTAATTTAATTTTTGTTCTGGTCAATAAACATATAATATTTTGGTACAATTGCATCTGTAAAATATGAATTACCTGAAGCAAGAACAACTGTAGGCTTAATTGTATCTATCGTCATGTTACAGAATTCTTTTAACTCTGATATCCTAGATGGATCTTTAAAGATACTTATATGTAAGTCAGATACCTAAAAGTAACAAAAAATTATTGTAATATATCTTCAGGACATAATAGTATATACAATTTGCATCGCATATTACCAATTACTCTAAATATAGACATGAACAAACCTGTAAAAACCATATCAAATGATCATACGACTTTCCTATGTCATAATATTTTGGCTTGGACCACAGTATCTCCCCATTATTATCTCTCAAAATCTCGTCCGGCAGACGAGAGTCAACGCTGATAAGATCTGCTACATTTGCCACAAAGATGGACAACATCAGCACAAAGACCAAGAGAACAATGGTTGATTTCGATATTTTCATTGTGATGATATAAGTGTGCGATCATGTAATTTTACAGGCGAAAAAGAAAAATCAGGGAAAAATGATCCAGCTGTTTTTGTGTTGCGACCACCTGCTCCGATTCCGGGAAATAAACCGGATGCCGTTTATTCACATGGAAGCCGGTGAATATACCTGGCGTCATTCACTGTCCCCGACGAAGAGCGAGGGAAGACGGTCGAGCGACTTAGAGAGGATCGTCTTGGAATCATATCCTACGTGTTTGCCAAACAACGTAACTTAGAAATTCGTGGCCATCGCGAAGAAAGCGAGTTGCATCGAATGCGTTATGCGCATGATGCATTCGAACAAAGCAAGATTGATCCGAAGACGTTCGAAGAAAACTAATAATCCAAGAGTCCAAGATCGATCGGTTTAAGATATTATTTATTCATTTTGCTATTTATATCTCTTGGATTCAAACTAGGCCACGAAAGAAATCCTCTGCAGAGCCTTTGATAATGTGTATGATTGTCAGTTTTTCCTGTCAATGTCAATACACATTAAGGTGATGCCGGACCGTCCTGTTTTACCGGCCATAATAATTACACTTTGCAGACCGAAATTTTTTTATTCGTTACATGAAATAAGAAATCCTTCTCCACGATTTAAGTATATACATCAACAAAGTGGGAACCTTGCGCTTTTACGTTAAAAACGAAGAAAAGCTAAAAAATTACAGTTTTTTTACCGGCTTCTTGCGTCAGGTCGTAACAATATTTGCTTAATATAAAAGTTTTGGCAGTTTGTATGTACAAAATAAGATAGGTTCCCACTCGGAAATGCATGAAAGAATATAAATGAACGTTTGAAAATATATTTAGAAGCCTAGTAAAAAATATTTCGGTGTGCAAAATTTTTGAACACCGAAATATTTTTTACTAGGCTTCTAAATATATTTTCAAACGTTCATTTATATTCTTTCATGCATTTCCGAGTGGGAACCTATCTTATTTTGTACATACAAACTGCCAAAACTCTTAACGATAGAGACCTTTCTGCATTATCAATATACGATTATTACGATTTCTATTTTACCAATGTCGTTGTGCATTATTGTTTCGTGCATAACGCTGTGAGATGTCACTACATATACTAAAAAAAGTTTGCAAGTAAAAGATCAATTGGCCAGATGGACAAACCCCAGGCTAACAGATAATAAAAAAAATTGCAAGACCTGAGATTGAGATCCCGACCCCCATCCTATATGCTTTTAAAGAAATTGCTGGCCTCCATTTTTACCATATGAATTAAATATCAGAAAAACATTCATCACAGAGAATTCGCTAAGATGAGAATTGGATACTCATATAATTGAATGCTTCACGATTTAATATATCTCTCATAAAAGAAAAGCCTTTTTCATATATTTAAAATGAACAAGAAATCGGAAATTTAAATTTCAGGCAAAAAGTTAAAAGGCTCTTTTTGCGATATGAAATTATATTTCTTTTTCGAAAAAAATGCAAAAGCTTGAGATTTAAAAAAATTCGCTTAGTTTCCAAAATCTTATTTAAAATTTCGAGAAACAATTATGATGTTCTTGCCTTGAAACAATAATACAAATCAAAATCGTCCATAATTTCGTAAATTAAAAAATGAGGATTTTGCAGAAGTAAAAATAAAATTTCAAAACCAAAAGATGAAATTAAATGACGGCTAATTTTAGCTAATATAAAATTTATCTCGCGCGGGAATGTGTCATCAACAAATTTCCTGCCCGCAGTCTGTACGCAAATCCTGACCGCATTTGCTGACCATATGTGATGGTCGTGTAATAAAACGTTGGTTAAATATAATCTATTCTTGGACTCTGACCTGTAAAGAATATATATAATTTAGATTTAGATAAATTGTCAGAAATTTCCGCGAAAATTATTAGTACAAATTCTTGAAATTTTGATCTTTTTATTTTTTACATATTTACATATTACATCAATTTATATATATATATTTCTTTTTTAAATTATTAATTTTTTTTTAATTAGAAATAAACAGCAGCGAATTTTAATTGCAATATTGAAAAAATATAATATAAAAGAAAATTATAAATAAAATATAAAGATATGAAAAATTTTTTAAATCATATAATGAATTGGCATTCAATCACATATAGAGATATGGAGATAATAATGATAGAATATGAGATATGAAAACGTAAATGAAGAGAGAAAAATTCAATCATTTTAAAACTGATTCTCGTTAATAAAAATATAAATTTCACAATTTCACAAAGTTAATTCATCTTATGTATTTTTTTAATTCTTCGATTTTCGACAAAATAAAATCAATTTTAATCTCAAAGAGATTAATCTATCTCAAAATTAATCTCAGAGAGTGCAGCTTTTCCTTTAATTTCCTTCTACAATTTCTTTTTTTATAGTTTACATGTATATATATATATATTATCTATTTCTTCTTCCACTATAACTAATCTCATTAAAAAAAAAAAAAATGCAAACAACCGATTTCCAGAGAAATCAGAACGCGATTTGATGATTCCAGATAAGTTCTCGGAAGCAGATAATAATGCGGCTGATAAGAGAAAACCGACATCAGTCTACGATCGGAAGTCGTCATGTATTCAAATCAGTTTAAATAGTCCACGAAGAAAGCTACTTACAGCTTACTATCAATAAGTTGCACAGTGCCTAAGTTTTGCTTCAGTATAATATTGAGATAATTTGCACAGTTTATCTCGTTCGCTTTGCAATCTTATATTGTGTATTACATCGTATAAGTAAAAGAGAAACAATTATAATGATGGCGCTGAAAAAATTTGCAACAGTGCTTTTGATAGAAATTTTCGTTTTACCGGTATGTATGAAAAATTGATTTTATATTGTTTTAATCAAAGATTTAAAAAATCAGGAATTTAAACATACAGTCCATACTTCGAGCAAAAGCCTATTACATTCATGTTTAATAATGTTAATTGGTAAATAATAAAATATTAAATAATATTAAATGTAATATTAAATATATAATAAATTCAATAAAAATAAAAATACAATATTTATAATATAATGTAAGTAAAACACGAGCTGACGCAATCAGATAAGTGGTGAGCGTCAAAAAATCAATCTCGCCGATACGTAATCAATCTCGATTTATACAAGATAAATTACATATAATCATATATTCTTTTCTTAGAAAATAAAGCATAATTTTTGAACTTATCAATCAAGATTATTGTCGAGATATTGTATTGATTGAGTTCAAACAAAACAAAAAGTAACAGAAAAGTAAAAGAATAAAGAAAGACGTTTCAACTATTTCAGATTGTTCTCGAGGCGCGCTTTTATCATGGGTACGAGTCTTACAGACGGTATTACGATGATCATAGCATTAATAGCGAGCGATTGAAATATCCGGTGAAGATTTCCGAGGAATCGTATTACGATCATAATGATGTAAAAAAAGGAATAAATTCGCGTTTTGGAGGTAACGTCATAAATATAACAAAACAACATTATTTCGACAATGAACATAATTATATTCGGTGTTTAAATTAAAATTTTTCTATTTACGATTTTTATAATTCAGACAATAATATCTCTCTTCTTATAATCTTTCGTTAAATGTTTATTTTTGTGAATATGGCTTTCTAGATGACAAGCATACAAATTTCGACAGTAGTTTTGTATTTCCGGATGACGTATTGCAAGTCCGAAATGGCGGTGGTACCTACGTAATCAGTCCAGTGGCGAATTGCGATGATAAGCGACAAACCTTCTGCGAACATGTCCCAAATTATCCCGAAGAGTTTGTAAATCAAGCACTCGCGAACAATTCCAGCCTGTTACATTACGCATATGAAGATATTGTTAGTAAATTGATAATTAATAATTTATTATCGTATATAATTAGCAAAACACATGGAAATTTCTATTTAAAATTTTTTTTTTCATTAATAGTTAACTATTGCACCGCGAACAGACATAAGTGAGGAACCGCTTTGTCTCTCTATGGTAAAATCATTTTTAAATTATAATTATTCATTCTCAGTGCTAGTTAATTTTTGCAAATATCCATAAAAATAACATCAATTTTTAGGAGCGAGTAATTCGTCCAAAGACGGGCCAAAACGTGAAGAACGAATGGCGCTACATCCTCCAATCGAACCAGTCGAATTTTTTTCAAAGTGTGCGAATCGAAACTTGCGAGTAAGTGCTATACAATGAGAAAAAAGTTATAAATTATGTTTTGACAGTTTTTCAATATTTATAATGTATATGTATATGTATAATATAAATCAGAGAGTTACATGTAATGAGTATAAAATAGTTCATCACAAGACAAAAGTAAGATAGAATATTAATAAAAAAATGGCATAATATTCCATTTCCAGAGAAGAAAATACTAAATGCAGGATGATCGACGGTTTTGCTGAGGGATACATCACAATATGCAAACAGAAATATATTTATCGCGAGTTGTCAGCCCTCTCCGACAACGGTGAGATCGTCCGCGATTATTTCCGCTTTCCTGCGAGTTGTTGCTGCCACGTTCAGTTCAACGCTGACGATGGAGTTGTCAGATGAAGAATACAACCAGCTTCAGAGAATATTCCGGAGTTTCGTCCGCAGTAGATACACATATAAGAATATTTTAAAAAATATTTTATAGATACGTATTTTTGAGCTATTCTCTGATCGTGGAATTAGTTGGCTATTAGTTAGAGTTTAATTGCAAAATCGAAGAGAATGATTGCTCTTATTCGTATTAAGAGCTTTTCAAAACGTTGAATGCCGAATAAGATATTCTGATAATCTGAAAGAGAACGAAAATTAAAACAGCATGCACGTAAATCGATAATGGCGTCAAAATTATTAAAAATGTTAAAATATAAATTAAAAATATGATTAAATTATTAAAAATATTTTTAGTATTATTAATATTATTTTTTATAGTGTCAACTCTCTTTTACCTTCATAAAAGATTCATTGGATAAAGTAACTATATAGCCGCTAGTTATCTTTATCGGTTTCTTAGATCGTACGATTATCAGCAAAAGAGTCTTCATTAAATCAACGGGAAGTATCGTCCAGTCCATTTCATAAATGGCGTTACCGACTTCAGTACTCTACATATTTAAAAATAAATTGCTTAAAAACAAAGTTTCGATTATTCAGCTTCATATAAAGCCCAAAACCCTTCGAAAAAGATAATAATGTTTTAGTAGATCAAAAATTTTTTATCATTCGACCTTCAGTGTCACTTCATTGCCGAACCAACAGTACAAATAGATCTGCATAAGCATGCAACCAAGATATGACAAACTCCACGCGAATTCGAAGCTCAGCAAGCTCTTCGTCGACATTTTATAGATGCTAAGACAGAGCACGGTCGAGCTTATGGAAAATTGTACGAGGATCATCAGCGTAAACACCGTATTGATACGTTCTGCGAATCTATCAAACTATGATTATTCGTTCAAAACGTATATACGTTTTCTCTCCCTTCATGAACAAACTTTATCATCTTTACCTATACACATAGCGATGATGATAAACAAGCTCGCGGACGAGCCACTGTTCTCGCGCCTTCAAATCCTCTTTAGAGGTGCTGGATTTCTGGGCTTCTCGCAGCAAATCCGGTAACATATGAGCGCGATGACATAGTATGTCCAACTGAGCGCAGGTCTGGATCATAAAGCCAGAGATGAGAGTCTCGTGAGCGACGCTGGCGTTCGCACAAACCATCAGTCCAATAGTTTGGTGTAGTACAGTGGCCCAATAAACAGCAGTCGACGAGATGTCATAGGGCACCCAGTCGGACAGCGGTAAGGTCCTAGTGTTGGCAAAATGTCGGAATTGAGCAATTGTGGCAAAGAAGACGGCCGACTCGTTCAATATCTCGCAGTAGATAGTAATTGTCCTGGAAGAATATTTGAGACAAAAAATATAACATCTAAAGAGATTATTACATTATTACATTTTATAATTTATATGAGAATTATAAAAGTTTATAAATATTTGATCTATTATTTTAAATTTGATTTGATTTTTGGATCTTTAATTTTTTCAGGCTCTTCGGGACCTTTTTGTCTCGCGTAGAGAAAGATTATTTCAAGGAGATAACTACATTATATAAATTCAAAGGCAAACTTCGCGAAATTAAATTTTATAATTACGCACTTTGCGTTACGATCGAATTTCCGTTGGATATTCATCTCGTGATTGTCCCTGGGTACACAAATGTCCACCAGCAGCATATCAGTGAGACCGATGATCTTGTCCCGACGTAGCACCAGGTTCATCACTTTGCAACTAACGCCGAGCACCGACAAAAACAGCGAGAACTTTTCGATAAAGGTCTCAAGATCCTCGATCATGAAGCAATCGACCAAACCGCAAAACGTGAATGAGAGAAGAAGAAAAATCATCACAACAGAGTAAACACTGTACGCCCAGTATTTAATGGGTGTCAGGTTGATGGGTTGCCAATAACCGGTGTACGTCAAGAGAGCAAACGATAAGGGAAGAGTATGCATTGTTCTCGTTTAAAAGTCTAAACAAAATTCTTCAAGCTCTATAAGGTCTCAGTAAAAATGCTTTTTGCGAGACAATTCCGAAGAAGCTATTTCATTGCAGTTTCTGTTTCTTTGCATCAACATTTTATGCTATACCGCTTTCTTATTCTCTCGCACAAAGAATTACCTCAACTTCCGCCCTAAATAATTCATGCATAAATAAGTTTTATTAATCGTTGTAATTGAGACATTACGATATTATAAAGACTATCTTTTACGCTATTAAAGTCATGGCTGTATAGTTCCGCCTTATCGTAAGTTTTTAAAAATAAACGTTAGCGTAAATGCTACCTCTCATTGTTACGATCGATAGATGGATTGATCTATGAAACGAGAATTGAATTAATGGAAAAACCGCTATTGTATGTGACGGAAGCAAAATCAATATGTAAAATAATACAGCGATGATTATAACTGTATATTACAAGAAATAAGACACATTGTACTCAATTCTTCATTAATATGCTATGAATATAGCATGATGTGGAGTACGCGCGTTGCAGAGAACGATGTACTAGACGTTTTTTTTTTTTTTTTTTTTATTAGTATGAGGGTTCGCTATTCTAGATCTTGCGGTATATTTTTTTTTAATATTGCAATTTAATTATACAGTCAACTCTCGATTATGGATGAGTCCCTTTCTCGTGCAACCCGAAAGGACTTTGGTCGGCCGTCACTAAATAAATGCTTCTTTGTCTGTAAGAAAGAAAGAAATATTTATAAAAAATTTAATTTATCTTTTTCTTCAATTATTTCTTTAGAGAGTTCAAATTTTTTTTTACTAACGCGTTGCTTGGAGTGCCGTATCCCATGATAATTCGTGTATTACTATTACATTTGCCGGAATAAAAGTGAGATAGCGAAGAGCATTCTACGCCCAGAAAGGCCGATTCATCGGTCAGCGACTCGGCATAGAATTTCCAGGAACGATGATGACTGCAATAATCTGAAATGACAATGATTAAGATGTAAGAAATAATTTTAATTAATATCCAAATATATATATCTAGTAGAGAATATACCTTCTTTGGTGTTGATCGTAGTGTTTAACGGACAGCCAGGCTGTACACGTTGACCACCGTTCGGGAAAAAGTCCACCGTGCCTGTGATCTTAGCAATACCATAAAATCTAAAATCCGTGTGTATGATATCTACGAAACGAGCATCGGAGAACGTGAGACAAGGCTCAAGAAAATTGAAAAGGGGACCGGCGGGATCCAATCCTGTGACAAAAAGCTTTTTAAGTATTTTTCCATACCGCGCTGCTCTAGTTTATTATTTTAGTAATCTTTGAATATTGAGATTTTGAGATAGCAAATTTTTCGAATTTATAAATTTTATTTTTTTAATAAAATAAACATTTTATTTATAATTTGAAAAAAAGTTCTTATTTTTATTTTACTTAAACATTAATATGTACTATTTCTATTATTATCAAAAATTTGAATTTTTTGCTAATGTATATGACTTATCAAAATATCTCTTAAAATATTATTTTAAAAAATGCTCTAATATTGCATTAAAGTATCAGCGATATATAAGCGATATGAAATTTAAAAAATTGACTGATAAAATAAAAAGTTGATGGACTTTACCCGTAATCCTAGGAATCTGAAAACTGACACTTCTGCCAATATAGCCGGCGACTTGGCTGCCTAAAGAGTGTGACACGATGTGTAGCTTTTCTGAATCGAAACCCGACGCTATCATCTTATCGAGAGTTACTGTGAGAGCGGCTGCAACATGAGGAGCGTTTCTCACAGCTTTCATATACGAATTGCTCACCAGTTTACCATAATCTACTGCGATGATGTTGTGGTCATTTCGCTTCAAGTAAGCTGAAAAAAAAAGGAATATAATTACAATAATTATAATATTTTTTTTATGTAGCTATTTGTTGTCGAAATATACCTTGCACTACCGTTCGTGCGCTCTCTTTCTCCAGATGTTCCGTATAACCGTGAATATACAATACTGTCGGTTTGTTGTATTGTATTCGAGATAGGAGCGCGGCGGTATTTTTTAGCGAGTAATCGACGTATTCATTCATAGTAGTTCTGAATAGGATAAATATTTGCATTAATGTAGAAATAGATTTTTATAGAGATTATACCGATTTTATCTCGTATCAAGAAAGAAGAATTAATATCGTTGCAAGAACCCAATTAATTTATCGTAGACCGAAATTTGATTTCCAAGCAATAAAAACGTTATAAGAATGACTGAAAGTTTGAAAATAAATACCCAACATAAATACGCAGAAAGATACTCTCAAGATCTCCGATGGGTGCTCCACCTATGAAAGAGAATTTGGCTAATTTATATTTTATATCAAATATATTCTTTTTTATGTCGCGCACGTGCGTTATAAACAAGCAAAATTTAAAGAACAACTTTTACGAGGAAACAAGAAAATGTATAATAAAATATTCCTCTAATGTATACTCTAGTTTCAAAAAACACTATTGTCCTTAACATCTTTGAAATTCATCAAAAAGAAAAGATCAACATATATAATATTATTTAACGTGTCTAATAACAGTATATTGTAATTTCATTATTAAATATATTTATAAACTTGATTGAATTTATTGCGAGGCCGATACTTACAGATTATAGTCGCGTATATCGTAACGCCAATGGCAAATTGTTGAAAAGTATGGATCATCATTGCATCTAAGGATACGCTTTGTAGAATGAAAAAGATGTCTGGACAATCTCTAAGCTTTCAATTTGTCCTGTGCACGGCAATATAAGAAGCTAAAAACCGTTAATATATGCACTCTTAGATTTACGAGACATCCTGTTATCCAATATCACCCCGACAGCTTTCTTGTGTATACGAAAGAGTAATGCGCGTGTCAAGCGGCGGAGATACGATTACCCTTCCTGACGGAGAGTTTAATGCGTTAAACGCGCAAGCGAGAATATCGCGTACACATTCGAGAAAAATTGCGAGATTACTAAGGAATTATTATAGAATAAACAGAAATAACATACACATAAATGAAAATTTGCTAACAGTAAATAAATATAAACAATAGTCACAGAAATAATATATCGGTTCACTAATAATTTTTAAACGAATAAACTGTTAAAGTTATTACTTATGACATACTGTTCTGATGAGTTCAGAAATGCAAGTGTTACAAATACTATTCTTTCTTCTATATATATATATAATTGCTAGAATATGAAGTGTTGTTGTTAGTCAAAACTTTACGATCGTGTATATGATTGTATATATATATAAACATATATGTGTGTGTGTATATATTTATGTATGTACATATATATACACAGTCTGAACTTGAAATATGAATATGCTATTAGTAAAGAACTTTAATAATTCTAATGGTAAATAAATAATTCGGCAATCAAAAATTGCTAAACTATTTATTTACCATTTTTTACCATAGTGTATTTTTTGCATATTTTGCTGCTTTAAATTATTTTGTGTGTGAGATATCTCTTATATTATATATATACATATTAAGAGATAACTTTAAATATAAGATTCGGAAATATTGTAAAATTTCATTATTACATGAGTAACGATATGTAGAATAAATCAATGTTAAAAAAGACGAGGCGTTAAAGAATAGTAAATTTCAGTAAATTTCTGCTAACTGCTCATAAAATAATGAATGCAATATCGTACCACATAAAATCTGGTAAAATCCTATAATACTGTCGTAGTGACTAATTCAATCGCATTCATGTTAATTTATGTACAGGTAAATTTATGGGAATGTCACAGATTATCGGAGTAACGGTAAGTAATTATGTGTATCTCTAACTCGCGAAGAAACAAATCACGGGTAAGACTGAATTTTAATCGCTCTTATTTTTCGTATCGTTATACTTCGAATGATATATTCGCGCAAATAAATCGGTCACATACAGGGGTAATATTTGTAATATTCCAATTTATTTTCGTAATAATTAACTATAATCAATTTTGATAAATATTTAAGCTTCTGTTTTTGTAAATAATAAGCCAACAAATAATTAGCTTAATTAATTATTAACGTATATGAAATAGGAAATTTCTTTAATATTTCTCTGTGAATTCGTTGCCTTTAGCGTAGCCTTTATTCTTTACTTATTGTCTAACGGTTGTTAAATCAAATAATATTTTCATAATTCAATATTTTGCAATGTAAAAAAAGTCTTATGGTCTGTTTACTTAAAATTGATCAAAATGAGTATATAAACGGATCCCCTTAAATGCTGAACGTTTGAGATCCGTGCAATGTAATATCTTTGGATTCTCGGGAATGGATGTTCATATAAGATATTATATTTTCTTAAATTCATAACTATGATTCTCCTGCATCCTCGAATTCAAGATACACTTAGGTCACGTTTCATTTAGCGATCGCAACACTCGTGGGATTATTTCATTCTTGTTGTTTACCGAAAATTAAACAAAGATAAAATGTTTGCGAGCGTTGCAATCATCAAATAGAATATAATCCTAATCGCATATCCTTGGCTCCTTACAATTTCGAATATCCTTATAATCTTTGCATTTATGATGAAAAGCGTAGTAAACATCGATATACATAAATATCCCGTGTATCCACTAAATATAGTTCGCAAGCGATTTATATTAGTTACAATATAATGTAAGTAATTTAATACTAGTGTGACACAAATTTAACCGATTGCATTTAGCATAAAATTTTGCGTATAATCATATTCGATAGTCGGTATGACGGATTGAACAAATTTCAGGAATATTATGAGGTACATATGCACTCCCAATTCTCCGCCACCTTCCATTACCGTCTCCATGATTTTCTTCATCACTTCCGCGTGCCTGTATAAATAATAAACCGTTTAATACATTAAGATTCACGAATCTAATAAATATAGATCAATCAGCTTTTTTCTTTTTCTTCTTATTTTACCTGCAAGGATGAACAGATGCCATAGGAGGACCAGGCATATGCGGGTGAGTTTCCATTGTAACTGTCTTTTTAGCGTGATCTTGACTAACATCTTCGTACATCTCTTCTACATTAAGCTGTTTTCGATTCTGTAATGCATTTAAAAACAATAAATGCGATAAATAAATCCAGAAAGCAATAATCCAAAGATCTAAAAAGTTGAGATAGAAATAAATACGCGCGTTTACCTCATTGTATCCATACAACCATAATCTAGGCGTCTGATAATATTTATCATATGTAATATATAAATCATAGGTGCGAGTGCGAATAATCTCTCCCTCCGTAAATGAATCCCATTTCTCTTGACTTTTTTTGGTACTTTCCGTCGCTGCGTGCTGTAACAAAGTTGTTTTTCCCAATCATAGAAAAAAGATCCAAAATTATATTTCTTCTTCTGCAAATTTGTCCTCTACCTTATCCTGTTCATCCAGCATTCCGCTAATTTCGAAAGCTTCCATATCGGCGGCATCCTCATCATCCTCATCTTCGTCTGCATTGTCATGAGTTTGAGATGGCTCCTCCAGTGTCTCCTCCAGAGCCATTTCCGTTACTCTTTCATCCAGACCAGCAAGACTAGTGGCATAGTGATGAGTATCTACCCATCCACCTTCAGGATCGTCTGCTTCTATAATACATTCTTGCTCGTTGCTATACTCCATCTATAAATATACAGCAAATAATATAATTATATGCAAAGAAAGAAGATCGAATTACTTTCAGTCATGACATTACCTGCTTACACCGGCGTGTGCAGGGAACATTACGAGTGAGTAGAAATTGCTTGCCCTTTGGTAAATAGGATTTTGCCCTGTCCTCATCACCAGTAGCCCATTGCCATGTGGGACAATGATGTACCAAATGGTCCCCAGCTGCTACAAACTCCTCTGGTGTCAAGACACCTGTCTCTCGAAACTTGCTCTCCTTAAAATCAAATATCATATAAATAATAAATTCAGGATGTATATAAATCAATCAAACAATAAATCGTATCTATTGGTGATGAGAAAATTTCACATAAAAAGATAGAAAATATAAAGCAAATCTCTCTCTCTCTCTCTTTCTTTTTATTAATTGCATAGTTTCCGACAAGTAAAAAAAATTATTTTTTATCTTTTATTCATTTCTTTATGAAAAATCTCGTCGATGATATCACGAATAACTGGATCATCTGTCATCTGTCGACTCCGCTGTTCAACGACGATCTCCCTAACCAAAGTATCTAATCGACTCCGATGAACTACCGATATCCTGCGAGCGAGAGGAGAAAAAAAAGGAAAGTACAACTCGAAAATTACCTTCAGCACCGGCGTCAAGTATTCGGCGACACCCAACGCGGTGCCCTTCACTGAATTTATCACACTTTGCATTATTGACGACTCGTTGCGTGTCCGCTGTGTTCACGAGAGAATGTCGAAGATGGGATAACCCCTACACGTGGTGCGCGTAGGTGCGGAAGAGAAACGGCAATATCATTCAAAGAGGACCCACACTAATCATTTCGGTCCGCGGGGAAGATCCCTTTTCCCGCGTGTTAAACCGAGATCCGAGACACCTGCTCTTTTCCGGCTCGCCGGATCGATTTGCACGGAGTGTGGCACGCAACTTCGTCTGTGTGACAGGTGATCATCGGAAAATAAACATAGAGAACAAAATTATAGACGGGTAATCGCCCGAAAGCTCGCGCTGAAACGTTGTTACCAACAGTCAGAATTCTTGGAATTAATAAACTAGGCAAACGTTGGCAAAGCTTTTTTCTCCTAACCTGATATGTCACGACAGCTTCACGCGTGTCTTGTTCGCTATTTCGCACGTTTAGAAAAATTGGACGATAAATGGAAAGAATTATCAGAGAGAGCTGAAAGGCCGCTCGAGGCTCTCGCTAATCAAGCCGAACAATTCCGACATGTCACAAAGTGAGTGAATAATAAATAGCTCCATCGCGCATTGGCGACAATTTTATCGCAGTCAGGTTTAATGAGATGGCGTGATTGTTGCAGTGTAAAAATAAATGAGACGGAGAATAGCGTGGATGAGGAGACGCGGGAAAGATTGATATTCAAAATCCTAATGGGCCTCGAAGATGAAATTACGCTTCTCCTCGATATCTTGACGCAATTTAATGACGCCAATCAAGTATATCTTTATTTATAATTCGTAATTTAATGAAAAAAATGTGGTATTTAAATCTGATTATTTTTTTAGGATTTAAAGAATTATTTAGTCAATTTGGAAAACGCGAGAAGCCAAGTATCTTTTAAGGATGAAACGATGCAAGAACTAATTAAAGGAACGTCTTATCGACCAGCGCTCAATTTGCTTCTAGAATGGGCAGTGGAGGGTTTCCAGTTCTATGATAACATGTACTTGCTGTTTTAATAATAGAGTTCTTTAGCATTTCTTTAATCATTTCAATGCAATTCGCTATATTCTATTTTAGGTACCTTTGCATCAGAGACTGCATGAAATCGATCGATTACAAAACGGAAGAAACTATTGATAATCTGATCTCTTCTTTTGTGGAAGAACAGCGTGGGAGGAGAAATATAAATAGTAAATATAATATCTCTTTCTTCATCTTCATCTTTCAATAGAATTCAATTCAATCAATAGAATTACTAAATATATATACGTGATATGATTAAAAGATGAACAAATAAAATGCCGCGTTTTTATTCTACTTTTATTATTTGCTACTACTTGATTTTCATGTCTACTTTTGTTATTAGTATTGTACATAACATTAATAGAATAAGTATTACACATTCACATATATATATTGTTTATTCGATCGCTATTTCGGAGTAGAATATATTAGATCGTTAATATCCGTTTCGCTTAAAAACATTCGATTTCGATTATTCAAATATTACATGTAGAAAGTTTCAATAAAGATTGTGTCTGTTTTAGAGATACTCGCTTTTACGCAATTCCTAGCTAAGGAGACTCCTCGTTAAGGAGGCGAAAATATGTGGAAGCTATAAAGAAGCATAAAAGAGCCAAACAAAAAATATTTTATATCCTTATGGATATTATAACATATTTCACATGTAGAACTACTTTTATAATAAAATTTTTTACAAAAAGATAAGACAATTAATTAATCGTGAAAGATAATGAATGATAAATTTATTATCAAATACTATAATTTCTCTTATATTAAATTGAGAAATCATACATTTTTCTATAAATTACTATCTCTCTCCTTGAAATTCTTTTATCTCAATTTATTGTATCTATATATAATAGTATAATTTTTATTTTTTATATAAATTTTACAAAGTTTTATCTTTTATATTCCCAGAATAACGTTAAATTATGATCCATCTTTCGTTCTCTCCTTTTCATCATACTATCGGTGTCTTTCTTTTGAGGGAAAAGGGCTCGCGCGTGATTTCGCAAGAGAGTCGCGGCCGAAAGAGAGAGAGAGAGATTCGAGGCGCCGGCGCCAGCTATTGATTCTGTTGAAATACCGTGATTTCAAAAGTTACTATCACCAGCCCACACACTGGGGTGTCACCAGTGGCGAACCACAAGGTCCTCGCGCGTTTCTTCCTTTGGTCCCGGCAGGTCGGTAAAAATTCCGCTTCATCCGTTTCTGCTCGCGGCGGAAACGCGAACGACCGCGTCTTTTCGGACACTCTCCCATTGTAAATGGACGTTTCCGAATAGAGCTGTCGCACTTAGCCGAGAGAATTCGGGCTTTCTATATGTCAATCGTGAATTACATACGATGAAGCGAAACACTCGCTTGCGCGAGGGCATACATATATGTTTGTCTGAATAAAACGGGAGTTTTTTGTACATATGTGTCAAAGCTATATGTATTTATTTTAATTAAAATGAATCTTCTTTTCTCTCGTACGATTGCGTATAAAATATTTAATGAAATTCTGTCCGTGTGCTCCAATGAGAACGTGCATCTACGTCAAAGTAAAAATCAATTTTCAGTAAAGTTTTTAATCGATTTTTTTACATGCACATATAACAGATATGTACATAAGTTCTTTTTACGTAAACACGTGTGTACCTAGAAAACGTTTGCATATTCTTGTAAAGTATGGTCGACACCTGTGCGAGATTTTATATATATACACACACACACACATATATACATACATATATATACATATAGATTCGACCTAAGAAGCTATCACATGTATATAATGTATGGACAGTTTCTGTGTGTGAATAATAAGAAATTAATAACAATAACCAATCCAACAATGAGCTAAATTAGCGTAAAAATCCGCAATGATTAAATAAAGTGCACATTAGGAGAATAATAATTAAATTACGCGGATCGTAATAATTAAATTTTAATATAAATCTTTGATATATTAAATACACACATATATATATGATTATATATAAGATTATATTATTTACGTTATTTTAATTTAATATTAACTTTTTTTAAATATTTTATAACATGTATATATCTCTTATTTTTAAAAAAGATTACAAGTTTTTCTTGTACAATTTATTAACAATTTTGCTTCGCGCTCGCTTTTATCTTCGTATTTAATCATTTTTAATCTTTTAAATTTTTTTTTTTGACAGGATGGAGCATCTAAATCTTTCTGTTTGATTAGAAAGAATCGAATTTGAAAGGGATTAAAACGAAAACGGAGAAAATATGGCGAATACGGCTCATCTCGTCCGCCGGCAAAGCTCCCGCGATCTCAAGCCCCAGAAAAGCGTCGATAAGCTCGAGATGAAAGAAATGCGTGGTAGATTAGTGGTGGATAATCGAAAGAATGTCACCACTGCCAATTACGGGGCCACCAATGCGGCCTTCGAAGATAACAGTCCTAGCAAGGTACTTCTACCTATTTTATTCACTTTTACATGACACCGTGAGTTTGGCCTCATTGACCTTTATTCATAGAGCAAAACAGGAAACGGTCCGGGCCCCGGCAATAATGACGGCAAAGCGACTTTCCGACCGGAAGCAGGCGAAGATGAGCGTGAAAATTGGGATAGCAAACTTACATTTCTCCTGGCGACCATAGGATACGCGGTGGGCCTTGGAAACGTATGGCGGTTTCCCTATCTGGCTCAGAAGAACGGCGGAGGTGCGTTTGCTTCGCTTAATATTGCTTATTAAAAGCCCTCTCGTTCAATCGTAAGCATTATTTTTAATGTCCACCAGGTGCTTTTCTAATTCCTTATTTCGTGATGTTGGCTATCGAGGGTATTCCTATATTTTATCTGGAATTGGCAATCGGTCAGAGATTGAGAAAAGGCGCCATTGGCGTGTGGAATCAGGTGAATAAAGAAAAAAACCATAAATTAGAATTTCACCGAAATAAAGATTTTTAATAATGAGTTTTCTATCGAATCTCTCGAAAAGGTATCCCCGTATATGGGCGGTATCGGAATCAGCAGCGCTATAGTCTCCTTCAATGTGGCCCTTTACTACAACACCATTATCGCCTGGTGTCTCTTCTACTTGGTTCAGGTAACAAAACATCTGTCTATGATTGATTCGCCTCGTCGCATCTATATTACTGAAATAAAAATCTAAAAATCTGTTTAAAGAGTTTCCAGTCGCAGTTACCTTGGGCGGAGTGTCCGAATAAGTACTTTCCAAATGGATCTTACGCGCCTGAACCCGAATGTTTGGTAACGCTGAAATTTACACTAATATATAAACTATATCTTATCGTCCGTGCATTAAGTTTGCCATCGTATGTAACTTGAGAATCGGTCAACAGGTCAGCAGCCCGACGCAGTATTTCTGGTATCGAACCACTCTAATGATATCAAAGGATATCAATACGCCGGAAGTGTTCAATTGGAAAATCGCTCTGGCGTTAGGCATTGCCTGGATCCTCGTCTACATGTGTATGATTAAGGGTATCACATCCTCGGGCAAGGTGCGGCAGCCTTTTCTCATTACAAATATTAAATATTGTCATATCAATTTCGTATATCTGCTTCATCAAATTGTAATTCTTTCTTAGGTTGTGTACGTAACCGCTACGTTTCCGTACATCGTTCTAATCATTTTCTTCTTCCGAGGGGTGACATTGAAGGGTATGTCGGACGGCCTGCGGCATCTCTTCACGCCAAAGGTACATTGAATATAATTATCTTCTATATATCGCAGTTATTTTATATAACCGCCGATTTATTTCTTTACTTCAGTGGTACACATTGACCGATCCGGTAGTCTGGTTAGAGGCTGGAACGCAAATCTTCTTCTCTCTAGGCCTAGCTTTCGGTGGTCTAATAGCGTTCTCTTCGTATAATCCGGTAAACAATAATTGCTATCGTGACGCCATCATGGTCAGTCTGACGAATTGCTTCACTTCCATGTTCGCGGGCATCGTCGTGTTCTCGATCATAGGTACGTGCAAACTCTTCCTCCGATGTTTTCCTATTTTTAAATCTGCGATTCTGCATTTTGATAGGATTCAAAGCTACCATGGTTTATGAACAATGTTTATCGGAAAGAAATAGCACGTTAATGAATATATTCGGTCAAATCGATAAGATACCAGAGGATATTCCGATTAGTGGTACACTATTGAACATCACGAATGGTAACGGATCACTAGACAACTTGATAATGCCGGAGCTACCCGAGTGCGATCTAGAAAAAGAGTTGGATAATGTAAGTTGTAAAGATAAACTTTTCTATAGCTTCTCCCCTGCGCTTTTAAATCACGTATAACGATAATTACGATGATTACAGTCGGCAGCGGGCACAGGTTTGGCTTTCATCATCTTCACCGAAGCGATCAACCAATTTCCCGGTGCTCAATTCTGGTCAGTACTGTTTTTCTTGATGCTGTTTACGCTGGGAATTGATTCTCAATTTGGTACTCTGGAGGGTGTCGTCACCAGTATCGTCGATATGAAGCTCTTCCCGAACTTAAGAAAAGAGATTCTGACAGGTTAATTTCACAGCGATAAGAAGATATATTATATTAATTAGATATATTAATCTAAAAGAAACTTACTGATAAGAATAAACTTGATTTCGTGCGCAGGTGTGATTTGTTTAGTGTGCTGTATGATATCAATGGCCTTCGCTCATGGAGCTGGTAGTTACGTCTTTGTGCTATTCGATAGCTTCAGCGGAAACTTTCCGTTGCTTATAATTGCTTTCTTCGAATGTATAGGAGTGTCCTATGTTTATGGTTTGAAGAGGTAAGTGTAGAAACACTCTTGAATTTTCAAGATTTCAGATTAGAGATATATGCATTTGTGGTGCGTTGCGATAATTTCAGATTTGCCGACGATATCGAACTGATGACCGGCAACCGACCTGGTCTCTATTGGCTGATATGTTGGAAGTATCTCAGTCCACTGGCAATGTTGAGTATCTTGATCGCGTCTTTCGTCGAAATATTTTTTGAAGGAAGCGGTTATCCGGCCTGGGTGGCGAGTAAAGGCGTTACGGAGAGACACGAGTGGCCTGTTTGGGCTTTAGTTCTCATCTCCATTCTCATTCTCACTTCCGTTTTATGGATACCCGCAGTCGCTATTTGCAGGTTGGCATTGATCTTAATGTTACCAGTAAAAAAATCATGTATTTTGTTTTATGCGCATCTTAAATTAAACTCTCGATGATTCTTTCTAGATATTATGGAATTCTCATCATCGACGACAACGAAAAGGCATGGTTTCCTGCGGCGGATCTAAAAGAATTTCATGGAATCATGCCGCACGAGGTAACGGCGGCTGAGACACTGCTGTTTTGCATCAGGAGCGACGGTTCTGAAGGACTATGCTGCCCTACGGGCGGTCCTAGCGACGACGAGGACGAGGACCTCACCTAGGATCGATTCTTGATTGCAACGCGCGTTTCCGCGGATGACCTCGCTTTGAGAAACGCTTCACTTTATCCTGTGACGACCATCTTTGACTGCTTGCTGCTTAATCAAAAGTGGCTGCAATCCATTTTGGTGAACCTGGTCGAATTGTAGTCAGTGCATCCGCATGGTAGGATATTGTCTATTGTGTCAATTAACATAAAAGCTTCGGCGGTAGGAGTTATTTCTTCATAATTTAAAGACGGAGATACATTCGATTAAACAAAATAATTTTTCTTCCAATTTTAACAGTTATTAGATGTCAGATTCAAATTTTTTTTTCATAGTAGAAATTTCTGTAATTAAAAAAACAAGTTTTTCTAGAATCCAAATATCCGAGAACATTAATGTAAGTGGAGAGTTATTTGAGAATATTCTTGAATGTATTTCCACCTAAGAGATATAATCATTTGCAATTTTGTTTAAGTGAGATTCACTACGCGAAAAGTTGTTTTCGAAACTTCGCGGATAATGAAGAATATTAGGCTACAACCTATATACACAGTTTTCGAGCGAACGATACAATCGCGCATTGTGTGGACGGAAACGAGAAGTAATCTTTGCGTACGGAAAATTACCAGTTATACGAGTTAACAATGAAACATTTACTCTTTAGCGATTGCGAATAACATCAGATTTAACAAAATTAGCGGTAGGAGCCGTCCAGTGGACTTGGGTGAGTGTACCCGAAACATTATACTAGATCTAGTCTTGGTTCAAAGCATTTGGATCCTTAGATCTATGGATATTTAAAGATTCGAAAATACTTTGAGAATCGATGAGTCTAAAGATTTAATAACGTAAGCACTTAAAGATCCAGGAACAACACAAGTAAGCAGATAAAAATATCCAGATATTTAAAAACGTATAGAAACGTGTAGAAATCTAAAAACTGAAGTATATCAAGATATATACGTATATAATTGTCTAAGAATATATCTTCCCAAAGATCTAAGGATTCAGGAATCTACGATTGATTACGCGGATTAATGACGTGACAATAATAAGTTTAGCATAAAAAGACTAAAATTGATGACAATAAAATAATTGGACTAAATCATGCTTGACAATAATATAAACGTTGCGCAGCATGCGATGCGCATTTAAAGATACCTGGATAGCAAAAAGGCGATTGATTCGACCCGATGAAACTGGTTTCTTCGGGCGAGGAGAGATAATCATCGTCCAGGCCACGTAGGTTAAACAATTAACAATTAGTTTCACGTAGGTCAATTATTATTTTAATTTTAAATCTCTTTGTTATGCATCAAAATCGATCTGTGACATAGAGTATATTATAAAAAGAATAGATAATATATACATATATATACATATATTAAAGTAAACCATTATATTTCAATGAAAGAAGCCAGAATCCAGGTCGAATTTGAACGTTAAAGGTGTCTTTGAACATTCCATGGAATCTTCCTGTTCGCACTCCTTTGCGACAATACTCAAATGGCCTGATACCTTCCAGTGATATTTTAAGCTCTTAACTCTTTGCACTTTGAATAATTTTTCGTGTTGAACTAATAAGAAGAGAAAAAAGAAAAAGAACCATTAAATTAATTTATATAGAAAATGTTATTATAATTTCACAGTTAAATTTCCCATAACAATGTATGGTAATATAAATATTAGTTTCTCATGATGTTACTGAATGCACATATATTTAATGAGATTTTATAAGTCCACATTGAAACTAGATATTTTAGTGCAAAGAGTTAATAAATTCATGATTAATTGGTTGTGGGATATTCACCTAAAACGTACAAATGTAATGCGGACAATAAATATAGTAGAATTTCGTTTTCTCGAGTTATCTATTAGTAAGCCTAAGCAGAGAAAATAATTGCATTAGCAATCGTTAAGTAAATGACGAATTAATTAAATAACAATAGGAGTCATCAATTAAATAATGACGGAAATTGTCATTAGTTAATTAATGATGAAAGACAAGCCATATCTTGATATCATATCATTTCTTACAAAGTATGTACTAGTTTTTTATCTCGCATATACTCGCTCGATCTCTATTGGCGAAAGAATCTTTTGGGAGACAAATGCATTTTGTATCTTAATTAGGAATTACCCTTCTTTGAGTATATTTTGATAAATACTCTTCTCCCTGTAAGTTTTTGCGATTAAAAATCGATAATCTTCTAGTCAATATCTTTTAAGTTTTAAAACATAATTAACAATTTTCCAAATTTAATTCATGCATTAAGGAGATAAATTAAAAAAAGAACAAATATTAAAAAGAAAGACGTTGCAGTGATTCATTATCAAATGACTGCAACAATTATCATTGGGATTACAGAGATCATAATCTATCTCATCGAACTTTTGTTAACCATATATATTGTCGATGTAGCTTGCGCAATAATTCAAAAATAATACACCGATGGCGGACGATAATAATTGTTATTATTACATACGATTGCGATGATTACGATACATATATACAATAATATTGCGTATACGTAAAACTGTACATATATATATATACATATATAAATATATTGTTGTCAGTTGAATGTTAAAATAAATACCTTGAGTGGATTCAGATATCTCTTTACTATTGATACTTGACATTCGAAATCAGAACAATTTTTTTAGCAAACAATAATACAATAAAAACATAAACAATTTTAGTAGTAAAAAATGAATAATTTGTTATGTAAGATGAATCAAAAATTAGATAATATATATGAATGCTTATTATCCTATGTTTCCACTGTGTTAGAAATTTAAGTTTTTCAGCTTTGAACTTTAAAATTCTAGTTTCAAGCTTTTATCAAAAGTAATTATTACAAAAATTTCAATTTCATGAACGAAAATTGCCGATTATAAAGTAAATAAATCAATATGTAATTAATTATAATTATACATATACTCTTATGGAACTGTCCCCTGCATAAGTTTACATGTAATCCTTATTTTAATTATTTATTTACTAGCGTACTTACGTCCAATAATAATAGCTTCCATGTTTCTCATATGGCATATTCCAGAAAAATATTTAACAGTAACAAGATAAAGCATTTCTTCATTACAAGATATATACTCTATTACTTTACATTTTCTTGAGATTTTTTCCTTTAGATACCTTTCTATAAATTTCTTCATCAAATATCGATTTTTTTCCTTCCATAGCTAAAGATCGCCATAGCCTTAATTTAAATCTATGGCAGTAAACTGTGTATTGACATCAGTAATGCAAAGCCCATTCGTTTTCCTGTAGGAAAGTATCGACCACTTCCTTCATCGCCAAGTTTGGGATTAATTGATCTTGCGTAAGACGCACACGCGTGACTGGATCAAAATGACCGACCCGTTGAAGATGCTCCTCGATGTCTTTCCGTTCGTATGTGATTCCACTAGGTGTAATCACTGGTTCTTGCAAGATTTCAAAGCTGATCTTACCGCACAAGTAGTCGGGCACTTCTCTTTTCTACAAACAATTCATTTGTAAATAGTAATTGCACAGGCTATTACAGAATATAAATATAATGATTCGTTCCGAAAGTAACAGAAATTAAAAAGAAACAAACCCTTCTCCTCTCGTCGACTTTAGCGAAGAGATCATTAAGTCGCGATATGAAGGTATCTCTCTTCTCCTCGATCTCCTCTTTTCTCCTAGCAAATTCGGTTGAACTTGCATCAGTATCGGAATCCTTTGTCGTCTCCTGTTCTTGTAAAGCTGATAAGTTATGCTTTGCATCATCTACAACCAGCTGGCTCAAATAAGTCTGCAGTTCGATATCTTGAGCAATCCTCTGTTCCTCCCTCACTTGAAAACGACGTTTACGTGCCTGTCGTAGCACACTGGTGATGTCGTCACCATAATTCAACTTCTGCTCCTTTGCCAAGTCTACAGCTGCATTGTTCCCAATATTTATAATTTTATACTATAAATCTAATCTATTCTTTCTCTTTCTTAAAAAAATAATAAAAATATGGGTCTACTTTGCTATTTACCTCTCTGCAAATGTTTTACAGCTTCGTCAAAGAGCTCCAATTCCAGTAGGGCGAGTCCTAAGAAAAAGTGACCTTTCATTAAACAAGGATCTATATCCAAAGCCCGTCTGCAATCCTTGCACACGGATTCCCATTGTTTCAATTTCAAATGACACAGTGCTCGATTTGTGAAGTATAATGCTTGATCTGGATTCTTTATCTGCAACAAAAATAAAGAAAGAAGATTACTTTATCGTGTAAAATTATTCTTTCTTTATTCAAAAATATGATAAATTCATATTAGAATTATATAATCAGATTTCAAAATCTTCCCTCGTTTCTGTGAAATTCTAGTACAAGTTTTCGGCGCTAGGTGCAGCATCAAACTGCCATCTTTGGCAAACTCTGCATGTGATTCATGATTCAAAACAAAAAATACTTGCTGCGTATGTAACAACTGGTAAACAACCAAACAGACGCACCAAAATGCGCAATAATATAGAATTTCGATTTAGAATCGCGGCGATATTCAAGCATGTATTCAAACGTCACTCACAATCGCCTTTGTATAGCAATTGGCCGCGTCCTCGTACTTGTGTAGATCGAAGAGACGGTTCCCCTGTTCCTTCAGCTCCTTGTCGGACAGGTTCGCCGTCGAATACATCTTACTCATGATGGCGGTGGATGATCACGTCGTACTACATGCACGATCAAATCAATTATTCGCAACGAGAAGTTGTACGAGGGCGAGAAGTACGGCAGCCTTTATCTAACCTCTAAACGAACGTCAAATATTTCATCTTTGTTTCGTCGAGTCATCGACTTTGAACGACTCTACGCGAATCTAGACGGGAATGCTTGCAGTTTCACCGCCATCTCAATGGTGATCGTAAAATCTCGATCTGCTAACTTCTTTACCATCATCACGCATGCAAATTCTAATTCGAAATTGGAACATTTCCCGCGAAAGAGAGTTGTACCTCTAAATGCGATTTTATACACTTTGCCTTTTATCGCCAGATCATCTACGCGGGAACATCGTCGTCAAATAATACCTCGGCAAGTGTAATATTACAGCTTATTGTGAATTTTGACGAAGCAGGTGATGCTTGGTGAGTAAATAAACATTTTGCTGCATATAATGTTATAATAGTTGCATTATCAAAATTTTCTACCTCGCGTACCGAGTGTGAGGTTGAAAAATTCATTCTTTATTTAACCGATTATTTCGAAAGGAAATTGAAAACTGATATCCTCGTTATACATATGTGTAAATCGTTACAGATTATTTAATGATCGTAGATATTTACAAAACAATATACTTGTAGCTTTTACATAACCATCGTAAAACAATATCAGAGCTGAATAATTTCAAAGGTGTAAATATTATAAAGACGTTTTTCTCTCTTTTTTTTATCTTCATCCTTCTTTTTAGTCGGAGTAAGCCCTTTCGGATTATATACGATTTGTAATGAATCCGCGTATTAAAATAACAAAGCGTTATACGAAATGCGAGCGCGTTTACTCGACGCTCGATATCGCGTCGGCGTAATTTGTCAGCCATTCATTTTGATAACAATATGGATTCGATATCTACATAGTATTAAGTAGAGACCCGTAAGCCTCGAAACTTGGTAGCATGACTGGGTCACAAGCGGCGGATGGGGGAGGGAAGAGATTGTGACCCGGTTGGTTCGTTCGAGACTTCAATTCCGTATTCTTCTCCATACGGGAATAGAAGTTCCTGCCACGGTTTCTTGGTGACAAATTGGAATTAGAAGTAATCGCGTTACTTGTTAACGAAACTCGCGGGTTAATCGAATCTATCTGACTGCTCTTCGACCGACCGACCAATCGACCGATCGATCGACCAATATATCCCCGGGGTGGAGAAATTCAGTGGGTGCAAGCACGATCAAGGGTGGGTGCCGGAGAGAAGCGGCCAAGATTTATTAGACATTTGAATTAGTTTGCGCGCTATTAATCCCGGATTGTACGACGATGCCTCGTCCATCGGTCTAGACCTGGGTCTGGTCGTCATCAGAACTATCCATTCAACTACACACCACGCTATTATGGGGGGGTTCGTCTGGAGGCTATTAAGCGTGTCCACTCAGATTACAGGGGATTACAATGCGAATCAGGTCTTCATCGATGTTAGAACAAGTGGCTTTGAATTTTTGCCAATTTATTCGCGATGCTATTTAGGAAAAGTCGTTTCCAAAATGTATAAAAAGAAATATATTTGATTTGACGATTCTGACAGATACTCTATATAGTAGAAAACCAATGTATCAAGAATAGTATTAAAATAACTCTGCTTTTTTTATAATATTCCTGAATAATAAAATAAAATATTTCGACATATATATAAAGACCAGAAACCGAATTAAAGATGTCCACAGATTTCTATAATCTTGATATTTGTAATATTACTTTGTCGATATATTTATATTTAATCTCTCTAACGAACAATAAATTTACAATATAATTAAATGAATCTCGGCATGTCTTACAAATTTATCATGCTTCGCAAATTTTAGCACATTCACAGTCATGCATCTTCCGTATACTCATTCGAAGCTTATCCGCTTGATCACCATATGGCTCGTATGGGGCCGACACACGTGTTATTAAACGATACCTACGCGACGGGAAATTATGGTCATTGACGTCGCATGTCGTGTACATACGTCGAAGGAGCTGGCCGAAAGGATTCGGCCGTCATCGCGATTATGGCAAAATTACTCAATCCGATGGTAATCTGGCGAATTACACCTCGAAGTAACGGTCAAACGCCAAAAGCGTTTGTGTGGGTATGCTTGACGGTTCGGAGTTGAGAGAAGGGTTTGGCGAGGTATGTTTCGCGCTCACGCTACGAAGAACATAAATATCCCCCCTTCCCCTTCGGGGAGCCGTAGGTCCGTCGAGGCATCCGCGGTGCATAGGGGGTGCACATAGGCGCAAGCGTTATGTATGTGCATTTCCCTGTACACAGCTAGGCTGTATTATCATTTCTTACGGTCTCCAGACACGCCAGCTAGTCAGCCATGATTTTCGCCCCGCGCGTTTCCTGATGCCGGAATTTCTTACAAAGGGGGTAGCTGGCGCACACCGTGAGGGAGAGAAGGAGGGGAAAAGGGTCGGCGATGCACGCGTATTATTATTCGTACGCGGCGCGAGTAACGTGCATGCACATGCATTTTTTTAACGCTTGCACCTCGTCGGAGTCGCGCATGGTTTCTTCTATTCTCGTTTATCATCGAAATCTCGAGCGAGTGTTATTCTGCAAAAAAAAAAGTTGTAATAGTAACTTCAAGCAGATTTTTATCATAATTTCATAATTAATATTTAATCAATTTACAAGTCTAATATGATATCTGTTATCTGTATAACTGAAATTATCCAAGTCTACGAGACTATTTAATCTTTAATCGTTTATAATTAAAAATCTATTAATGTATCAATACTGAAATTATGAGAAAAGTGATTTCTTAGACGTCCTATTAATGATTGAGTTATTCCAAGTAATATATGATGTCAAATCGGTCGATGAATTGAAAAAGATTCAACAGGCCACGGATCTTTAGGTATGGACGCGCGTGAATATAGATTTTCCTCTTACGGCGGGGAAAGGAATTGATATTCAAGGCGGGTGGATGCACTCGCATCACACGGGAAAGAAGTCTTATGCGAGAATATATATATATATATATATATATATATATATATATATATATATATATATATATATATATATATATATATATATATATATATATATATATATATATATATATATATATATATATATATATATATATATATATATATATATATATATATATATATATATATATATATATATATATATATATATATATATATATATATATATATATATATATATATATATATATATATATATATATATATATATATATATATATATATATATATATATATATATATATATATATATATATATATATATATATATATATATATATATATATATATATATATATATATATATATATATATATATATATATATATATATATATATATATATATATATATATATATATATATATATATATATATATATATATATATATATATATATATATATATATATATATATATATATATATATATATATATATATATATATATATATATATATATATATATATATATATATATATATATATATATATATATATATATATATATATATATATATATATATATATATATATATATATATATATATATATATATATATATATATATATATATATATATATATATATATATATATATATATATATATATATATATATATATATATATATATATATATATATATATATATATATATATATATATATATATATATATATATATATATATATATATATATATATATATATATATATATATATATATATATATATATATATATATATATATATATATATATATATATATATATATATATATATATATATATATATATATATATATATATATATATATATATATATATATATATATATATATATATATATATATATATATATATATATATATATATATATATATATATATATATATATATATATATATATATATATATATATATATATATATATATATATATATATATATATATATATATATATATATATATATATATATATATATATATATATATATATATATATATATATATATATATATATATATATATATATATATATATATATATATATATATATATATATATATATATATATATATATATATATATATATATATATATATATATATATATATATATATATATATATATATATATATATATATATATATATATATATATATATATATATATATATATATATATATATATATATATATATATATATATATATATATATATATATATATATATATATATATATATATATATATATATATATATATATATATATATATATATATATATATATATATATATATATATATATATATATATATATATATATATATATATATATATATATATATATATATATATATATATATATATATATATATATATATATATATATATATATATATATATATATATATATATATATATATATATATATATATATATATATATATATATATATATATATATATATATATATATATATATATATATATATATATATATATATATATATATATATATATATATATATATATATATATATATATATATATATATATATATATATATATATATATATATATATATATATATATATATATATATATATATATATATATATATATATATATATATATATATATATATATATATATATATATATATATATATATATATATATATATATATATATATATATATATATATATATATATATATATATATATATATATATATATATATATATATATATATATATATATATATATATATATATATATATATATATATATATATATATATATATATATATATATATATATATATATATATATATATATATATATATATATATATATATATATATATATATATATATATATATATATATATATATATATATATATATATATATATATATATATATATATATATATATATATATATATATATATATATATATATATATATATATATATATATATATATATATATATATATATATATATATATATATATATATATATATATATATATATATATATATATATATATATATATATATATATATATATATATATATATATATATATATATATATATATATATATATAT